TGGCCTAAAGGAGTTAAGCACAGTCAGGGATTTCAAGTTTGAAATTTCTTAGATATTTCTGATACCATGTTCGCCTCCAGGTCACAGAAATGACCTCTAATTCAGCAGCTCTAAGAGAGCTTTGCAGAGCTCTCAGAATTTAATTGCAGGATATATGAGTTTGGGCTTTATAAAGTCACTATATAATCACCAAACCCTTATCCATCCTTTTAACTTGGGAAATATTTATTTAGAATAAATCTGATGCTATTACCTTCACCCCAGTTTTGACAGTTGTAGTCAAGGGCTGTTCATCTCAGATATTCCAAATCCAGCCTCTCAAGCATGGGCAGCTGATACAGACTCAACTCGTCATAGACTTCAGTCTGTGAACTTGGCAACTACATGAGCAAGTGACTCATGCCCCACTTAATGTTTGTCTGCTAGCTCAGACACTTGTGTCTGGAGAAGAGCTGTGGAAATAATTTGGTTTGGGGGGTAGTGGCAATTCTTATTGCATAAGGATACTCTAAATCACATTCAAACCTGATGCCAGCTTCTTTTACCATCCTGCTATAAAAAGGGTACATCTAAAGAGGTTTTCTTCCCATTTCTGGCATCTTGAACTTCTATGACCCTTTCTCTTTGTCTCTTTGCTCTAAAACATCAGGGTATGTAAAGTCTTTATCTAACTGTTGTTCTGCACTGTGCTGCATTTGCCTGGTCTGGCTCCAGCCAGATTATTTTGTCTGTACAAATTACTGATACTGAAGCTCAGCAGCTCCTTACTGAGAGCCTCAGCAGCATCAGCAGCTCTGGGAGGAGAAGTTGCATGACCACCTGGTTAAACATTGAGGGATTCAGCAATGGCTTCAGCAGCAGCTTCAAGGGGCAGCTCCAAGGCTCTTCATTGTCCTGAAGAGCATCTATGAGCTGTGGAGATTTATGGATGCCTGTGACAAACTGCCTCAGTTCCTACCACTGTATAAAAGGGGTGGTCCCTAGCAGAGGGAGAAGGTGGTGATCAGCTGATATGTTCTGCTGGAGGCACTGGGAACAGTGACTTTACTGTCACTATGACTGTTCTGTCTCTGGCACGTGATGGAGATGGGCAGAGCACAGGAGCTCCACGTGATTGTGTGAGAAATCCAGTGTACAAAGCACACATCATGGAATGGTTTGGGTTGAAAGGGACCTCAAAGATAATATAATTCCAACTCCCCACCATGAGCAGGGTCACTTCCCACTAGGCCAGGTTGCTTTAGGGGTCCATCCAACCTGGCCTTGAATATTTCCAGAAATGAGGCATCTTTTCTGATAAAGGAAAGAGTGGGGTCGATATTCATATAATGCAAGGAAGAGCTGTATATCAAAGGGAGAAAAAAGTAAGCTCATAAAATATGGTTCCCAAAGAAATGATGTAATCTGAGTAAAGAAAAATGACATGAGACTCCAGCCTGACCATTTCCTTACCCGGGTACTCTGCTGCCATATTAACGTGGGGATTCAATACAGCCACAGCAGGAACCTTTGCCTCCGGTGAAGAACAGCAATTAGAGTATTTCCAATGCATCATCCATTTCTTCTTAAGCTATCTGAATTGTCCTCTCTTGAATAAAGAGGGTCAATCATGTAAAGAGGTCTTTAACCCTGCTCCAAGCAGTAGGAGGAAAGGGGAATATTTCTGAACATGCACGCAAAGTTTGTGGGAACAGCCTGGGGAAAATCATTCCAACAAATGTCTGGTTCATAGCTAGGTTTTCCAGATGGCATCAATATATCATGAAGAGTCAGAGAGAGCCTTTCAGAATGCAAATTGCTATTCACATTTTACCTAATTTATGCAAATTCGCTCATTCAGTCTTCTACCTAATCCTCGCTGGAATTCCTCCAAGGTTTGAAAGGAAAGATATTCTTCTTACAAAATATATATAATCCATATTAATTGCTTTTGATGGAGATGAGTGGGATGGACAGCTATTCCAGCAGTTAATATTTTAATCACTTCAGCCCAGCAGTAGCCCTGCCTCAGGTGAACAACCCCTGAATCTCTCCACATTGCTGACATAAACCATAAATGGCTGCATATTGGGATGCTCCCAGTGGGACCTGGCAGGAAAGAAGATCTTGGGAGGAACTGATCAGCACTGAACTCTTGAGGACAGATCTGGTGTGTGGGCAGATCTGATAGGAAGCAGACCAAAATATTGTGGCCACCCAAGCCAGGAAGAAGGCTGCAAGAGAGGGATGAGGCTCAGTGATGGAACCACAAGGATTCCCCTGGGAGTGATGGGTTTTGTATAGGTATGCAGGGGCAGAGCTGTGAGGTGGGTCAGACTGAATCCACATGAAAAATGCTGAAATGCAGCTTCCCACCCTTCTGAGGAGGGTGAAGAGGCAGGGACGGCAGAGGAGAATAGAAGGGGTGAGCACAGCACCTCTAAGTATTAGTCTAAGCCAGAGGTGTGGGAATACTCTGGGATCCATCTGGTCAATGTACATCAACACATCCTGAGTCCAGACAGCACCTTGCCCCAGTCTGTCCTAAACAGAAGAGGATTTGTAGAAGAATAAATGGAAAAAGCAGAAGTTGATTGAGTTGGGAAGTCTCAAAATTATCCACTTATTAAGAAGCAATTATAATATGTTCAAGCATATTGACTTCAGTCTGTCCTTGCTTTAATGTTTGTGTGTTATCTGGAATAGCTGTTCTTTAACCACACAGTGGTGCTTATGGATTTCTTATCCCTGTCCTTTGTGTCTGGATGGCTGGGATCAGATACTGAGATAAAAGAGCAAGACTAATTCTGAAATCAATGAATTAGAGATTTAATGCATTGATATTTCATGGCTTATCTTTGTAGAAAGGCAAGACTGATACGCAAGCAGTGAAATGGTGTGTGCCACTTGTGGTACTGACAGACCTCAGAACTCCCTTGCATGATGGGTTTTGTCAGGATCAGGACACATGGGAACCTATTACACCTGTACCAAAACCCACCCAAATCCCCGAAGCAGATTCCAGGTGCAACAGGTGAGAATTGGGTCTGGTTGAGATGTATTTTATTGATATTGCCCAAGCCTGTAACACGTTTGGCCCAAGGGTGGACTTACATTGAATTACACAATCTCTTTGCATTATCTGCTTTCCAGACCATGGCAAAAGCACTGACTGATGTGTTTCAGCAGGTATTTTTTTTGCCTCTAGTGCTGTCAGTAACAAGTCTCCTTCTGCCAGTCAGGAAAACTTGCCTCTGAAGCATTTTGAATTGACATTTCAAATACATTTTTTTGGTGTCGGGTCTTCAGGAAAAGACTGAAGCAATTGATTGGTGACTTTCAAGAAATACATATTTTTTACTCTTCTGTAGGGAAGACATGGGATTTTCTGACAATGCCTAGGGACAGATAAATCATTGCACTGCACTGCACAGCTGTTATTTATATAACATGATCGATGCTGTCTGCTACATTTCAGAGGGATCCATAAGATGACAAAGTGCAAGGAGGTGGGAAGAACCTTCTTTGCCCTCCAACTACACATAATAGTGGTGGGGGTTTTAATGTAAATAATAGCAGAGCAGAGTACATTACAGTAATTTACAGGTTGTATCACCTGAAATGGAGCCTTGAACAAAATAGGTTGATGATTTTGATGCTAAAAGTGGCTATAAATATGTAATTTGTATAAAAACTGAGCAAGTTGACTTTACTTGTTTTCAGCAAGGTGATTCCTTATGGGTGTCCAGGGACAGATCTCACACTTCTCAGCAAAAGCAACTTCTCATTGCAGGTGTCTACAGGAGCTCAGCAAATCATTCATGAACTGAGCCTGGTCAGTCAGAGCAAGCCCTGCTCTCATCCTGCTTGGAGAGCACATCTCATAAAATCAGCTTTAAGGCAACTTAGAGAGGAGCCTTGGATGGGAGATGCTTAAATGGAGCTTCATCAATTTCTAAACTGATTTACTCGGATCAATACAACTTCTGACCATTGCCAAGCCACACTGCTTTAAAGCTGAGGATGCTTCCACAGAGCAGCTCTCAGCACCTCCTCTTCCAGGGCTCAGGACTCTGTCCAACAAATCACTTAAGCTTGGGCTTAACTTTAAGTACATGGATACCTCATTAACATCAAGGAGACTACGTTAACTAAAGAATGTGTGCAAAGTGCTTTGCTGGATGGGGCCATGGATGCTGCATCATCTTTGCTAGGTTGAAAAAATAGCCAGACAAGGAGTTTCAGCAAGGATGATCTGGAGAATTACTCAACAACAGAAAACTGTGAGAGCAGGAAGATGATTGACTGATTACTATTCTGATTCAAGGGAACCCATGGGAGCATCTAAATCAACTCCTTTTAGATCTTGCAGGGTGACTTCAGTCCGGTGATTAGAGCTGAGTGAAATGTTTTGATTGAGAATAAATTAATTCAAAAGTACTGTTTTGGCTAGATGGAAATATTTTCCTGACCTATTTTGATTTTTTTCTAATTTTCTATTTCCGGAAAAAAATCCCAAATGGAATTTTTTAACTTTTATGGATGTTTTTTAGTCAAATGTGAATATTTTTTTTGTGTGGGAAAAGCATCTTGATTAAATGAAAACATTGTGGCAAAAGTCAAAAGAGAAGAACACATGCTTTCATTTTTAGCAGTGTCCCACTAGGAAAAAATATTTTAAAAAACATGGGTTTTAACTGAAATATTTGTGTGTTTTTTTTCTCTTGGGGAATAAAATGACATTAAAAAAAAACATTTTGTTTTAAACACGGCAAGTTTTCATCGAGGAAAAAACCTAGAAACTGAGTGAAATGAAGGACAAAGTGCCTCTGTTCTACATCTACACAAAACAAACTTTTTTATTCCCCAATATCTCTCAATAACTTGCAGCTATGTAAAGCTATTGAACTGGGAACTCACCTTCAAAGAATGACAAGGAGACAACAATTTGCAAATGAAGGGTTTCTTCCCATCCCATATCCAAAGGGAGTTTTTTTTCACAGATTCAAATAGTCTTATGATCAAACAGTTGTTTTTTTTTTTCAAAATCACAGGGTAACCACTTCCTGTTATCAGGACGTATTTTATGCTACAAAGAAATAAGAAAATAACATATAAGTTAACATCACTGCAAGCACTATTTCTCTCTAAATTCAATGAACCAAAGAATAGTCTTACCCCACAGTATTCCTTTTTTAAGATGAACTGTAGTAATACTCCCCTCCCTTGCCATGTGCTCATATTTCTGAGCTCACAGCTCATGGTGGCACCCTCATTTCCTAACATGGAAAGCCCCAAAGCCAAAGATGGGGCACATCTTTGCCCCAGTGGACACCTCCTAGCTCCAAGTAACCCACCAGTATTCAACCTACAAGGATTGTGTCTTGTTGCTTGTAATTGAATCATATTGATTTTTAATGAGTTTAATTGATTGTGGTCATCTCAGAGACTATGCTGACAGCTTCTTCTTAGAGGCTTGATTGTGTAGTAGAGTGGGAGGGCACCTAAGGGGTTAATGAAAGGCCACACAAGTTAATGGGGAACTGGAAGACCAAAGGGAGAGCTAGATTGAATACCTATGGAAGAAGCCAAGGAGGAATAAAGGCAAACAATTTATTTGACTTGAAACAGGTTATAAAAGACAATAATTGTTTTAAATACAAAGCTGTTGAATTATAATTGGAAGTAATTGAAACTCACCGAAATATTGAATAAAACATTAGATAATTTAAATCATGTTATCTTTACAATTATCATTGGAAATAATTGCAATGAAGCCCATGAATTGTTGTGAGTGGAGGAGAGTCACCTGGGGCACATTGTTTTCCACAGGTATTATGCAGGGTGTTTGATGGGGAGTTATTTATAAATAAGTGGCAGCATTTGTTTCTGATCTGGCATTTCACAAGTGTAAACCAGTCCCATGATGATGGGTGAGAAGGCAGGTGAGCAAGAGTGAAGCATCTGCTATTTTCAGAGCCACTGCTTTAAAAAACAGTCAAGAAGATGCCTCCCCTGGAAGGCTTCCTGCCTTGTTGGTTGGATTTGGAAGATAAAGACACATTTTTCATGGCTGTACCTTATTGTCCTGCAATGTTTTCCCAGAATATTTTCAGGAAAATGCTCACACTGTCCTTTGTCAACTAGGAAAGCTACCAGAAAACAAGGAATGCTTTGCAGACAAAAAAAAAAAAAGTGTTAATTCATCACAGCACCCAAAGGTTGTCTCATTAACGTATGTAGCTATTTTCAGTTTGCTGTCTAAAGAAGTAACTGCCTTAATTCAAATACAGTCATTCCACTGCAGAATTCATGGGAAACATTACACAAGTTCTCAGCTCTGACCTGAACATCTCCCTGGGTAAGGCCACGTAGAGTCCTCTGGAGGGGGAAAATTTGAATAATTACTTTATATCAGGCTATAGCTTCATAATGCGTGACATCCTGCCAGAGTTTCTGGGTGATTAATATAATTGCTACAATGGGCTTGATGAATTTTGAGACAGCAACTTTGATAGGAGCAAAGCAGCATTCCACCTACAAAAACATCTCCACAGATTCTAATCAGCTCCTGCATGGAAATTAGTTTGTTGAGCTCTCTTCCTAGTTGCCATGGGCCATATTTTTCCAAGCAGATGTAAAGCAAGCAAGGAATTGAATTGCAATGATTTCAGGTTATTTTTGGTCACATGGAAATAAGCCATTTTTCATCCCCTTGATATAGAACCGGATATACAGATATTAGACTATTAATGCCACATTTCCTATGGACTAAACTGAGGAAAGAAGAGCAGTATCACTGAAGCATCAGATGGGGAAAATTGCTGAAATTGAGTGGCAGATGAAGAGGATTGCATGATACCTTTATCTATGAGGAGAGAAGGAGAAGGGTGATTATGGAACATGTACAGAGGAAAAAGCAGCTGAGCTTTGAGAGACTAACATAAGCTATGGCAGTCTGCTAATATTCCTGAAGGCTCTATTAACAACAGGATTATTTTTCCACAGATGATCATCTGTTCTGTCTTAGATTAATATCTACCAAAGTCATATGTTGGGCATCTGGCTCCTTTGTGCTTCTTCTCTAGAAGGACAAGTTAGAAGGGGGATTTTGCTTTCTAATACAGCTTACAAAAGCTTTCCTGTTCCACACAGGCAGAGGAAAAAAATGAGAGGCAGCTGAAGGGGAGAGGATTGATCCTGGAATACTCCAGTCCTGATTCATCTTCCTGGAGAAATTGAGAGGCATAGAGAAGAATCTGATGCAAGGAGCCCAGGATGATGCAAAAGTGGTGGAAGGATCTGTCAGTAATGGGAGAAGCTGGGACATCACAGCTGATTCTCTGATACACTTTTAAAACTCTACCAGGTTTACCTTCACCCTTTTTTTGATCTTTAAGTGCTGTGTGGTATATCTTTCTGAAGATGGTGCAGGATGAATGGGGGAGCATGCAGATATAAATTATAAGCACTAGTAAAAAAGGAAAGAATCACTTCACTAAAGATGTCTAGACATTACAAAAAGTAATTAGTCAGGTTTAAGATTCTGCCAGCAAATACACATAGCAGGAAACACAAACATAAGGAGAGCAAGAGCCACCAGGCTTCACTTCATCAGGACTAATTAAAGTGTTCTTCCAAGTCCTTAAAGAGATTGACTATGACAGCAATTTCAAATAAGATGCATCAGGCCAAAGAGGTGGATCAGACTGAACCCAGAAGCAGCTCTGCATTGTCAAATCCCATTCCGATGTGTTCAGTGAAGAACATCCAAAGCCAAGGGAAGTAAGGCCAAAGACAAGGCAAATGGATGCTCTCTAGCAAATTTATCTTACCATGTCTTTTGGTGGGAAGGTCTCAGCTGTCTGCAAGGTCCTACCTGTGCCCCTCATGCCCATGTCACTGCTCATGCCCTGGAGTTTTGCTGCCACATGGTACAGCCACGAAGGACCACAGGTGATTTCGAAGCTACAGTTGTGAACATGTCATGAAATATGATATAAAATTCCAATTCCATAAAGGAGGCAAATGAAGTTTGTGCAGGCAATCCTATACTTTCTGAAGTTTTGACTTTGAAGCCAATAAATGCAAATATGTATGTGTATAATATAGATACATCAAAACTACAGTCACAGGTTGGGCCAAAATCAGGTTGGCAGCTTCCCTTTAAACAGTTTTATGGATCATTAAGTACTTCACAGGAGGCTGACTACACCAACTATGCTTTATTGATAGTCGAAAGTTTTTTGCCTGAAACAAAACAATTATTCATGTTAACAAGAGGCTGGAACAAGCTGCCCCAGACCAATGTCCCCTCCAAACATATGAAGACTCAAAATTCAGTCTCACATGTATTAATTGATGCATTTTGCTGTTCACCCAGGATTATAATATTCTGTTGGATGCTTTCTTTAAACAGGTTAGCACAACTGTTTTCCTGGGAAGGGCTTTGGCAGGCAAAAAGGCAGGATTTTTCACATGTGCTCCAACAAAATGTCAGCATATTCATGTAAGTAATACATATTCTTCTAAGAAAATCAATGAAAATTAGCCTATCTCACCAGCACAGCCAACCTTCAGAGTGTGTCAGTGTATCACACTTTCACATGAAGTTCTAAGTTCAGGGACAGAATGAATAATACAGGATATTTTTATTTACTGCCTTCCATCTCAGATAACTAACACACCAGTAAAACTCTGGAGATTCAATGCTACAAATCCCCAGAAAGTCCTTTATGTATTGCAAATACTGTCAAGGGAAACAAAGATGAGGTAGAGTATATAAAAAGTGGTAATTCACTTGGCCCTTAGCTCATCACTGAATACAGAGGAGGTAGCTGAAACTGGCTCTGGCAAAATCATGATCATTAGACCAGCAGATGACCAAATAATTTTAACACTCACTGCAGCACTAGCCCATTCTAAAAAATCTGATTTTGTCATTTAGCCAGCGCTAATCTGCTAACAACAGAATGAAAATGGTCATCCAGCCCTAAATGTTCTGGTGAAATATATGTAAGATTTTCTTGCATCACTATGACATTCCTCACAACCCAGGGCAAAATCAGAAAAAATCCCTGAACAGGTAAGTGGAATATACAAAATATTTTTCTCCTTGTATGGAAGCCTTTCTGTAAAGAAGCTAAATCTGGGAAGCTTCTAAAGTGATAAATCAGTTATGAAACGGTAACTCTCATTACAGGCTGTCCACTTAATTATTTGACAAGTTAATTAATCTCCAAGCAACTATAGAACTGCTGTTTCCTCAGTAAGCGATGGAAACAAACTTTGGCAGATCCCACAGGTCTTGGCACCACAGTATCAACAGGACTCTACAAAGTTATGTATAATAGACATTAAGTGAGGTCAAATTGCTTCTGTAGGAGTAGCTGGAACTGCTTATTGCCTGAAGGTGTTTATGTTGCTAATTATTTCATTGCAGATAATTATGGTTTGCCAGTTTAGTTGTGGCTCAGCTTTCACAAGATGCCTCTTTTCCCCTCAGAAAGCCATCGCATCATGGTAGGAAAGGAAAGAGCCTCCTGCCTCCTTAGAACAATGCCACTGTCTGCCTCTCCTCAAGAGACAACACAATTGCAGCTGACACAATAATTGATGATGAAGTTTTCTAGTGGGAAAGATGGACACACATTATTATCCCATCAATCTTGTTCCACACAGTGCCTTGTGCTGCTGGTTTTTCATACCATGGAGCAAATTGACTGAAGGATGCTGAGCAGTCGGCCTGCGCTCCCAGGGGTACCCCGTGATGGAGAAAGGGCAACGTGCAGGGCACAAGGAGAAAGGTGAGACTAGAGAAAAGATCACTCAGTGTGAACTGAAGCCAAATTTACTTCCACCACGTTCTTTACCTGCTCATGTCTCCATTAACAGTATCAATTCCCAAGAAACAGGACCTCATCCAACACCAGCTCATGCACTGCATGAGCAATGTTTGACCATTAGCAGCCACTGTCCCTTGTTCATACCCAGTTCTACCTGAGTGCAATCACAGATACCTACCAGGTCTGTAAGCACATGGAAACTCCAATTGAAATATGTTATGTATATATTAGAGAACTTTCCACT